GGTGGAGCAGTACTTCTGGCTGCGAGAGATTTACCGAATCTCGACCTGATTGCCCCAAATTAATTGACTTTTGGATGGCTGACTCTCATGACATGATCATTTGATATAACTAGCCTTGACTCAACAGAGTATTCAGGCATTCTGCATTCTATCCTGATCAAACTTTCTGCTGTGGAAACTTTCCTGCTGTCAAGCGCTTACTCGCAAGTAAAACAAATTGTTCTGCATAAAAGATATATTAATGCAATACATATGCAAGTTTTGAAATCCAAGTCCGTTCACCGAAAAAAATTTGTGACATATAGTAGATGAAATCATTTATCAAAATTCCAACATTAATACCCACAAGTTGAGTAAAATCCCTTTAGGAGTCAGTTTCGACACGATCTTTACCGAAGTATGCTTTCGAAACAAACCTGCTTCAATTAGGGCTTTTGAAGGTTGTAACATGGTCAGGTTCACGGTTAAGAAAGAAAGGATAAAGGCCAAAGTTTATTTTAACCGACCCATTCTCCTTGATGTTCTCCAATCTTACGTTCAGCTAATTCGCCACAAGCACTCACCTTTCAAGGGTGGAATGACATGCGTAATGGTTCGGGAAACCACAAGTTTCAGAGTGACAGTCACTCGCTTTTCGTTTTTGGTGCCTGGAGTCACATGACTTGTTTTTCTGAGGATTTTTATTTTGTAATCCTTTTCGCTCTTCGCTCTTTCTGTTTTTCCCTAATTTTTGCCTGGACTAACTCTTTTGAGTTTCTTTAATTTCAAAGTCCAGCGAGATGCCCTAATTTTTGCCTAAGTCGCTTGTTCTCAAGATTCGACTTAGCGGGCTTCTTTTTCGATTCTTTTTCTCTCTTTTTTTTTTGGTTCCTCGGAACAAATCATGTGACACTGGCTTGTCCGACTTGTTGAAAGAATTGTGATTGTTTCACTTTTTGGTCGGCGATGGATAACCACTGTGGTTTTTTTTAGGCACAACCTCTAGAGGTGTGATTGATCCTCAAACGGGAACACTCCTATTACAATTTGGATGCTTGGCCAAATTAACTGACACCTACCCTCCCTCAGTTTAAGATTGAGGGTTTTCATTTTCAGAAAGAAACTCCTACTACTAGGCTCAAAGGGGTTAACAAGAGATTATCATCCTTATATCTCCGATGTTTAGGAATTTGAAACAATGCCTGTACATCATCAGCAGGTTTTATTCAAAAGCATACAATCGGAAGCTTGCGCATCTTTAAACTTCGTCATCCTCCCCAGATTCCGCTTAAACAAGCGTTTGACATCTGTAAGCAATAATTAGTGAACACGAACGGATTTAATCAAAACATGCATATTCATTTCATTATCAATATCAATTTAAAACAAATAAGTTTTACAAACGAAATTTGCATTTAAACAGGAAAAAAACTACAAACGTAAAGAAATAACAGGATAAAACAAAAATTGCCAACTTCTGGGAACTGGGCTTTCAAATCTTGACTTGTTGCTGAGTCAGCCATCTTTAAAGTTATTCGTCGAAGTCAGTCTGATACTCCTCTGAACATCTGCTCTCGGTGAACTCTTCCATAACATGAACTGATATGCCCACCTGGCTGGATGAAGGAAGATCGTTGATCTGAATACCCTGAGGTGTGATTGAGAACCGGTTGGAATCCAGCAAAGTCTGAACTTGGCTTCTAAGCACCTTACAGTCGTCAGTTGAATGCCCATGTGCCCCAGCATGGTACTCACAGCAAGCGTTGACATCAAAACCTGGAGGATATGGCGGAATCACAGGATTCATTTCCTTCGGCACTATTAATCCACCCTTGATCAAATCCGGTAACAACTGACTGTAGGATACCGATAATTGAGTAAAATGCCTCTCTGGCTTCCTTGGTCTTCGTCTGGCATTCTGACGCGATGGATGACAATATGCTTGTTGACTTTGATGTGCAGACCTTAAAGATTACTGACCTTGACCAATTGAATCACCTGGAGGTCGAGTCTGAGATATCAGTGACTCCCTTTGTTCAGGTGCCTTCATCCTCAGGCTTGGCCCAGGAATCGGCAATAGCTGTGGGCGCGGGGATTTAGAAGTCATAAATTGCAAGGCATCCTCTTGGTCCAAGGCATCTTCAGGAGAAATAAGAGGAACAACCACCTCTTTTGCAGTGCATGGAATAAGACCACCTGGTATGGTTACGCCGCCCGGCGTGAATTTAACTGCCTTGGAATCAATTAAGTCCTGAACCTTGTGCTTGAAAGCTTTGCAGTTCTCTACATCATGCCTCGGTGCCCCAGAATGGAAATCACAGTGGGCACTTACATCATAGCCTGGTGGTGGCTCACCAGTCAACGGAGACAAAGTCTGAAGTTTGACCAACCAAAGTTGAAGCAGGAATTGCAACAGCTGAGCATATGTCGAAGGAATCTGATCAAAAATTCTGGCAGACTACCTCGGCCTTTGTGCATACTTTTCAGCATTAGGACTACCCCGGGAGACAGGACATGACTGTTGACGAGGAAATTCTGGAGCTTCAAGGCATGCACGAGATCTCTGAGACCTATCATGCCTTGGGAGAGGTTTCACTGGCAGAAGTGGAACTAACACCTCTGCTGCAGTCTCAGGCACCTGATCCTTTCTTAGCACACCTCTCAACACTTTTGTGATCAAGCCCATTTGAGTCTTTAACTGCTGGTTTTCCTCTCTAAGCATCTTCTGATCCAGACGCAACGCTTGCATATCCCCCATAACCTGCCTCATCTGGCTCTGCATTTCCCTCGACTCTGCTCGCATTTGCTCCATAACTCTTCTCTGATTCCCCCTGGTAGCGTACCGGTGAGCTATTTGATCAAAAATCTTGAAACACACTAACGAACCACAGGAAATAAGATTAACAGTTCCGATGCACCTCGAATGCAAATATGCAAAAATGCAGACATGTATGTATACAACAGGGAAATTTCCCCCTCGATTCTAGTTTCTGGGAGAAACACAACAATGGAGAACCCTACAGACAAGCATATAACAGAACCTCCTCGTATATAATCACAGGCCAACAGGAAATGTACAAGCAACAACTGAGTATAAAGAAGAAAGGACCTCAACCAACAAGCCTGGTGATGGTCAGTACAATAAGCAAAAAGCAACAAGCTACAAAAAGATAACCAAGATAATCAAGCTAGATGACGAGATCAGAAGTCCTCTAGCAACTCTTACGTCGCAAATTGATCTAGTCTAGCAAGTAGTCCCTGAATAAGTAACTCTTGTTGGCTAATAGTATATTGTAGACTCTCAACATGGTCTTCCCAAGCTCCTTCCCCAAAGCATGCCTCAAGCATGCATCTCTTGGAATCAGCTCTCAACCTGCAGTATATCAAGTTTGCAATGGCTTCGTTCAGTCTGTACTCACTATCCCGTCTAAGTGATGCCTCTGCTGCAATCTTCTCGTCTTTGGCATTGAGCTGCATCTTCAACTTGCTAATCTGTAGCTTTAACTTGTCTTCGGGCTCTTTGTTGTTGGTGAGCGTGGCATTCCATTGGTTAACAAACTTAGAAATCTTTAAGTAAGCTCTATCCAAATCTTGCTTCTTAGAAGCAAGAACACTATTAACAACTTTGAAATCTAAGCCCAAATGCTCCCGAGAACTGGTCTCCTTGGTCAGATCCGTACCCAATTTGTTCACGAGCTCAGTTTGTTTCTTGAAAGAGTGAACATCATCAATCTTCTCACTTCGAAGCTGAATGATTTCTTTCTCCAACTCGTCATTAGATTTTCTCAACTCTTACTTCTCAAACAATAACTGATTGTACTTCTGAATGTCTACGGTAGTGGGTTCTTCAATCATGAAGGGATACAAAGGTTCAACTAAAGGAAACGACATCAGAAACTTCGCAGCTCTATCATGAATCCAAGTCAGGCAAGGTTCATATGCTCGATTATTACTCTTCCCCAAGGCTATCTTCCCTCTCCAATGAATACTACTCCAAGCATGCTCTAATATGGCTAAGGCATCGCCCTCCAACAAACTAGTGAGATACAGAGATTCCTGTATCTCCTCTTCTTTAGGAGGATCCTTCAGTGCATATCCAAACTGTCTGACCAACAAAGAAGGGTTATAGTTGATGAAACCTTTCCTTCCGACCAAAGGGACGTTAGGAAATCCGCCGCAACTATAAATAAAATTTGTACCGAGTATATCTCTGTCAAACCAAGTGATATTCTCCACAGACAAACCCACCAACCTATTGGACCACTCTGAAGTACAAGCGGTATCAACAACCGGACCTGTCTTGGGCATGTGACTAGCAAACCACTTGTATAACAAACACTACAAGAAAATTTGCAAATTGCGACGGTTCATTTTGATAGATTACGACGGTTTTAACCGTCGCAATTTGTAAGTTACAACGGTTTCCATCCCGTCGCGGAAACGTGCGTCGCGAGACCGTATTGCGACGGTTGTGAAAACTGTCGTACAAACCGTCGTTATTTTCACGACGGGCAGCTAACTGTCGTAATCTCCATATTGTGACGGTTTTCAACCGTCTTAACTTGCTTAATGATTTTTGTTTTCATTGTTACTTGTGAAAGTATATTGTGGCGGTTTGAACCGCCGCAAGTTGCAAATATTTTTTTAAAAAAAACTCTAGTATATTGTGGCGGTTTGAACCGCCGCAAGTTGCAAATATTTTTTTAAAAAAACTATGGTATATTGTGGCGGTTTGAACCGCCACAAGTTGCAAATATTTTTATAAAAAAAAATCTGCACTCATTTAGGATTCATAATACAGCTATTGTAGGTTACATTAATGGAAGTGACCTCAATAGGTAAATTTGTGAGACTTTAACATAATACAGCTATTTAGGATTCATAATACTGCTATATCTCCTTCCAATGTTAACATTTTCTACAATGATGCTGCAACTGTATGGAGTACATTAATAATTGCTTGTTGTAAGACTTTAACTCCCATCAGCAAGTTCATCAAACTCTGGGAGGACTTATCACCTTTATCTTTGACTGAGTCTACCAACTGTGTTGATTCGATTTCCTGCAGCATTTGTGTAGCGCGTCCAAAAGACTTGACGAAAGAATCGTCCATTTTTCTGTTTTTTCATTGCTGCAGTTACTGCCTGAAGTAGAAACCTTGCTTCTGTAATTTTGTTCATTTTCATTAAACATATGGCCAAATTGCACTGTTTGTTCCTATCAACCTCAAAGGAAAGTGCTTTTCTGGAAGACTTAAATAAGGAACTTTTATTACTTCTCTCTAAAGAAACACAAAAATCATAAATGCATTTCAATTCCATCAAATAAAAGACTCACCTATAATGTTCTTCAATGGTTTTATAGTTGCCTTTTTGCAAATAAGCCCAAGCCAAGTTGTCAAGTATCCTCGATATCTCTTGCTCAGCGGTTATTTGAATTTTCTTCCCTTGAGATCTCGCTTGTTTTGTCGACCTTCCGACAAATGTCATACCGTCTTCAATTTGCTTTAACTTGTGATGAAGCATAAGAGACTTGTCTAAATCCTTATACCTTATATAATTCAACCAAGATGTTGTCAAGAGATTCCTGAGAATCAGAAGGGCAGAGATGGCGGAAAGACTTGATTGCTTCGATTGCCTCATCAGACCGGTTCAATTGCTTCATAACTAAAGCCATGTCATTCAAAGGACTCCTGCATCAAGTGCTTTGAAAGGTAACTACTTCTGAACAGACTACCAAACAAAACTTTCATTGACATGGTTAGGTATGTTAAAAGAAAATCAATAGATATACCATTATAAAAAAGTTCAGCAAATCCAGTAGTACTATTAAAAGGATTTGAAAAAAGAACATTAGAATAAATAAAATACTTTGCTGTAAATTGTTTCGCTAAATTTGAATTTTGAAATTTGCTAGATCATTGAGGCACCGTTTTATGTAGATAGCGACACCCATTGAGATAAGTTTGGGAGTTGTTAGAAAAGCTACCCTACAACACACTCACTTTTGATGCATGCAATTGTTATTCCATAACATGGCATTGCATGTTTAAATGGAGGAAAAATGAAATTGATCATCCACTTCGTTATCCAATTGCCAGATGTTTACTGCATCTTATTTTTGTTTCATGTGTCTGCTGAATGATGCCCAACTCGGGAACATAGTATCATATCTTGGGCAATGGATGTGGCTATTGTTTCACAGCTAAAACACAGGGTTCATAAAATATTCCTATAATTATTTTCTGAAGTTTGATCTTTACTCTTCTGCAGACAACAGTTTGGCAAGAAATTCTTCAAAAAAATAACCTAAATCCTATCAGCAAAGTGTTTAGAGCCTCCATGAAAGCATTCTAATGTGTTACCTAAAAATAATTTCATTTACTGACATGAATGCTACCAAATATATAAAATAATTCTTGGGCAAGGTGGTCTTGGATATTTTCCAATCCTAATGCAAAGTAAAGCAGTACAGCCATACAAGCCACCCCTACATCAAGTGCTGCAGAAAAACATAGTTGTATCTCTGCCACCATTTCTACATTAGATAATATATAAGAAAAGCAGTACAGATATACGTTTTTGACAGATTCTAGCAGCCACCATGCTACACAAATGTTGATAGTTCCAGCAAGCATTGTCCTAATGAACTAAATAATTTTTAACACAACAAATACATTAGATAACATATAAGAAAGGTAAATGCTAGTAAAACCTTGCAAACACAATTATAACAACTAAAAAAATAAATATACCTGCACTAAGAACATTGACCTTGGAGGGATTTTCATATAATGTTCGAGCTTGAAATCGCTAAGGAACGAAACAGCCTGAGCCATGCTTATGTAGCCATAGGTTTTGAAGCATACATTTGCAATTGGTCTTCCAGGGTAAGCGTTTATGCGCCGGAGACTGTTGGATGCGTGGTGGTTGATAGTGAAGGAAGGTGTGCCGCTGCCACATCGACCGGTGGTTTAATGAACAAAATGAGTGGTCAAATCGGTGATTCACCACTGATAGGTGTTGGCACAATTCAAAGTTGTCACCGGCTTCCTGCGAGAATATGTTTGTGTGTATGCTATATAAGAATTAGATCTCCAACCACGGGCATAGAAACTTCCTCATACTTGCATGCCAAAAGCATTGCCACTGACAAACCAACTGAAGCTTCTTTCTTACCACTGATTGCTTTTCCAAATATTTGTCTATAAGATTAAGTGTGAGAAACAATGTCTCATGCACGAGGTCAAATTTATCATTCACCTGAAAAGAGGAAAACAAATGAACATTATCATTATTTTGGATGAATTGAAATTTATTAAAAATACTATTTTGAACTGAAAATTATGAGCATGCCTCAATAAAAGCTTATCGTTAGCCGGAGATAACATCGAATATGTATTTTGGTAATATCTCACTGCATCATCAAGGTATGCATGCAACATCAATAAACCAACTATATTATCTTAGTTCTGGAAACAAAAATGAATTCAATGACAATAAAGAGTTCAGTTGACTAACATCCACAGAGCAATCTTAATAACAAAACTGACACATGTATCAAATGAGAAAACTTGCAGATAACACTTTGGCATGTATCAACCATAACCATGTTATCATTGGTGTGTATTAACCATAACCATGTTATCTTTGGCATGTATCAACCATAAACATCCTTTGAATGGTCAACCTAAATTATACAAATTTTATGGTGGCATGTATCAACCATAACCATTCTTTGAATGGTCAACCTAAACTATACAAATTTTATGTCATTTCCAAAGTCATGACCATACATCATAACATGTTTTTGAATTTCAAGACATCAACACATGATGTTTCCTTCTTACACACAAAAACATTCAAACAATTCAAAATCAACACCTTGCATTTCATAAAATTAGAACTCACATCTAACTGACATTCATAATCAATAAACATGGAATTTTCATCAATCAATTTCAATTTCCAGCTCATTCAAACAAATTCAAAACAAAAGCTCCCAAGAGATTTCCAGGTGAATCACATAGTCAAGACAACTCAAATTGCATTGCATTACTTAAAAAAATTTCAAACATGAGTATGCATCATAACTAAACTTATATTGCTCGATTCATAATAACGCGCATAAAATAGCTCACATCTCAATTTCCAACTCAGATTCAAATTGCCACAGATTTTCCACGTGAAAAAATTCAAATAAAACTCATAACAACCATCTCAAATCTAGATTCACAATTAATTTAAGAATTGCATTTCATCAAAATTCATTAACAACATTGCAAATAATCGTTAATTCCCAACTAACTAATTAAACTTCTCAAAGGTTTCTTATTCTGCATCCTAAAACAGACGGTTACTTGAGCTTATAGAGCATCACTTTTTTATCAATAATAAGCGGAAATACAAAAATCTTATATCACTGTGTTGAGTGAGCATGCCAAGCTAACTTCATTAACCGATACTAACATTCATAACAAAGTGGCAACATCACACCTACAATTGCATCTCATAACAAATTAAAACTCACGCTCAATTAAATTACATTCACAAGCTCATTTTCCAGCTCAGCAAAATTCAAATTACTCACCACAAATAAAAACTCAAATTGCATTCAACTCATAACTGTTTTTCAATTTTTAGCTAGAATTGCACATTACGGAAAAAACAAGATATAAAAACAAATGAAAAGTATTATTACCTTCCATTAAGTGTCCGATGAACAGCGAGGAACTCAAATGGTTGTTTGCAAATTCTATGCCCCAAATTCTAAAACATGTTCACAATTATAGTTAGAACAGAACTTCCAGACACCAATGACAATGAATATGACGGTTTAAGCAATCATTCAACGGTAAAGGAATACAAAGTAACTAAAATAAAGATTAAAGAATAAACAATGTACAAATAAAACATAAACCAGTACAATAAAGGAAATCAAACGAGCCTGATCTGCAACAACCTCGACAAGCTCCAACTCACGATCTCGCCACTTTCTAGCACTATCAGTAGAGAGAATGAGAACCATTATTGCAAAGCTTTTTGCTGAAAGATCAGGAAAATCATTAATTTGGAAATTTGACAAATGCAAAAGTGGCATCCGAATAACAACAACTTCAGGTGGCACATACCTTCCAACAAGAGGTCTTATTCTAGCAAGCAGACATGTATATGGTAGCTGCGTAGTTCTCGAGCTATTAATAACTTTATTTATAATAGGAAGGTTTGTTGGCACAGTAGATCTAACTTGTACATTATAAGTTAAAGTATGAGAAAGTTTCAGATTAAGAACACTTTTAAACGATTTTACATTCCCTTTATGTCTAAGTGCTTCATATCATGAAACATCAAACATAAAGTTAAAACCAAAGAGGACAATTACCAATTTTCCAGTTCTAAAAAAATAGCAGTAACTTATAAGTTACTAACCAACTAATTAGATATAACCTGTGAAACTTTAATTCAACAGCATGGAAGAATCTAGTACAGAACTTATGTTAAACATTTCATGTGCACTTTACATTTTTAGTATCTTCCAAGTGAAATATCAACAAAATTAAGCATAACAATAAATAACAACAGGAGTCTTGTATCATGATTTTTAATGCTTCCAACCATATTAATCATAGCATGACAACAATATGAACTCTTAAGGCTATTTATCAAATATATATAAATTCTTAGGGTGGGTTGTGAAATATACTTCAAAGATGAGAAGATACTTTTAGATGTTAATACACACTGGAAACTATAAATAAATTTTATAATATTTCAATTACAGCCTAGCATGATAAATTATTACCTCAGTAGTTGTGAATGAACACCGAGAAGAAAGTTTCTCCTCCTAAATTGTGTCGTATGATTCCGCCATGATAACACAGTAAGTGATGTCCAACCTGTAAATGGATGTGCACCTTTTCCATTTCCATTAATCTGATTGTACTGCTCCCACAAAAATCCAGTATGTTGATAGTTTGGCACTATATTTCTGCAGTATCAAACAATACCTAACTAAATTGCTTCTCAATTATTTGTACATGGCTTTAGCTCTATCCTGATATGGTGCATTCTCAGCAAGATTCAACTTAAACATCTGAAACAACTACTCTGTGGCTCTTCCCATTCCAGCTTGAACAATTTTGTATCTTCCAAGTGAAATATCAACAAAATTAAGCATAACAATAAATAACAACAACAGGAGAAAGAACAAAATGCAAAACATGAATGCAAAACCCTACCAGTTTCCCACCAGAATTTAAAGAACAAAATGCAAAACATGAATGAAAACCCTAAGTTCATATTTGGGGAAATTGCTTTGATCCTAAGTTCAGTTCTACAAAACCCTACCAGTTTCCCACCAGAATTTAAAGAAAACCCTATGGATTACGATTTGTTTGAAATACAAAAAACGAACCGTGCACTGTCATCGCCATGGGAGCTATCGCTCTCCTCGTTTTCCGATTGCAAGCGACGGAACGTTGGCAATTGCTCCAACTTCAAAAAATTTATTCCTTTTATTAATTTTATTGGATTAAAAATATATAAGATTATATTTTTTAATTTCCCAAAAACAAAAAATAAATATATTAAGTAAAACTAATATTTTCTTTAATAAATTTAGATTAATTATTAAAATTTAATTT